TGGCTGCCACGGGGTCTCCCAGCGTCCAGGATGGAAATCAACAACTTCCGAGTCAGTAGTCCAGCACCACTGAACTCAGCCTGCTGTTCTCATTTGAATGTGAACTGCCCATCTTGATCACTGCTACCTTGATCAAGGTACCTGAGACAGACACTGACACACAGTAGGTGCTCACAAATGTTCATGGGTGGATAGATAAATCTGGAAAATATAAAGAATAATATTTACCCCCATTGGCATTTAGTAGGTACTCGATAATTGTTAGTTCTGGTCTTTTTATAAATTTAATTAATTGATTAATTTATTAATTTTGGGCCATGCCCCGTGGCTTGCGGGATCTTAGTTCCCCGACCAGGGATTGAACCCAGGTCCCGGCAATGAAGGCGCTGAGTCCTAACCACTGGACCGCCAGGGAACTCCCTGGTCTTTTTTATTAAAAGGAATATGTGTGAAGCCAGAAGGAGCATCTTACCAGCCCTATTTGGTCCTCAATATACACAAGCTGCAGGTTCAGGGAAACTTGGGAAAGGCAGGGATGGGGAAAGGGTGGACATCAGCACAGACTCTGTTAACCCCCAAATCAGAGTCTTCCTTCAGGCCATGGGTTGGGGGCAGAGCAGGCCCCAAAATGGAATTAGGGAGCATGGGGTCCAGCGCAGGCTCTGCCACTAACCAGCTCCAAACACCAGTCTCTTTGGTCAAATGAGAGCAAGAATTTCTGCCTGACCTCCTCCTCTCTGAGATGGGGGAGCTTTAAACAGGAAGATGTTTTGAAGGGAAGGGGCACATCCGATTCACCTCCGGGCTTTTTTTTTTTTTAAACAGAACAGCTGTTAGGAAGGGACGAATACACTGCCAAGAAGCTCTGCTTTATTCAAAGACACAGAACTGTAATGATCGTCAGGCAACCTGTAGGCTAACTGTACCGTGTTACCATGTCACACCGTGTAATAGCCACGGGCTATAGTAACCAACTGTGTAGCAGGCCTAACATACTGGGGTCAGTGCTACACTGTTCCAAGCTACAATTCCAACCTGCAATAACCAGAGATCTTAATAAGAGCTGGCTCCTTGTGCCAGGCCATGTTCCTAGAGCACCTTATAGCGCTTTAGAAACAAACAGGCTACCGGGTAGGTGCTAATATAAAACCCCATATTAGAAGGTAAGGAAGCAAAGCACAGAGATGTTAAATGACTTTCCCCAAAGCGTGCAAAGCAGGGATTGAAACTCGGGCAGCTTGGCTCCAGAGCCTTTTCCTTAACCACAGCGCCTTGCCCGGGGACAAGAGGTCAGTAGTCGCCTGGTCAGTGCATCAGGGCTGGTTAAATGCGAGTTAAGAAGGAGCTGCTGCTGGACGGCACGTGGAAGAGCTGTGAAATATACTACACAGCTCACCCGACCATTCTTCAGATACTGCCCAGAGCAAGCGCTCACATTTGGGCCAGGCCTGTGGCCCTACCAGCAAAGCCGAGTTTTGCCATCTGCCCCCCTCCCCCTGCACCTGCAGCCCTTGGGACACAGTGCCAACCAGAACACGCCACTCAGCTCCACGACTGTTGTTGACGTGTCTGTCTTCCCATGAGACTGTTGCTCTCAAGGGCAGAGGCTGTGTCTCATCTGCTCTGTATACCCAGGCCTGGAGCACAGCCAGCCTGGAGGAGGATGGCGGTGTTGCTTACTAAGTGAGCACAACACTAATATTCTTGGAAAAGCAGGGCTGGCTCCCATGGGGCCAGGCCAGGGTAGGGAGTTCCTGAAACTGCCCACAGGTTTCAGACTGGCTCCAGATCTCAGGCTGCAGGGCTAGGCCTCATGGGATACCCCCAGGAGCCAGTGAAAAGTACTGCGGAAACCTCCCTAACATTTCCGCCTGTAACAATTGGACCGGGACTTCCCCAGCGGTCCAGTGGTTAAGACTCCATGCTTCCACTGCAGGGGCTCGGGTTTGATCCCTGGTCAGGGAACTAAGATCCCACATGCCGTGCAACTCGGACAAAAACAGACAAACAAACAACAACAAACACAATTGGACCACCTCTCGGGAATCTTCTTATCTAGCTGTGCCATTTTACAGATGGGGAGACTGAGGCTTAGAGAAGGCGAGAGACCCATCCAAGATCTTGCAGCAGCTCAGTGGCAGAGCTATGGCCAGGACTCATCTTGGTATAAAAACATCTCTGCCTCTGAAGGAAAGCATTACATTTCTTCAAAATAACCCACGGATAAGAAACAATCAACTCTCATATTTATAGACGATTAATTTTCAACAAGCGTGCCAAGACAATTTAACGGGAAAAGAATAGTCTTTTTAACAAATGGTGCTGGGACAACTGGATATCCACGTGCAAAAGAATGAACTTGGACCACTACCCCACACTATATACAAAAATTAACTCAAAATAGATCAAAGGCCAAATTGTAAGAGCCAAAACTATAAAACTCATTGAAGAAAACGCAGGTGCAAATGTTCCTGACCTTGGATTAGGCGCTGATTTCTTAGATGTGACACCAAAAGCAACAAAAGAAAAAAAAAAGATAAACTGGACTTTATCAAAATTAAAAACGTTTGTGTTTCAAAGGACACCATCGAGAAAGTGAAACAACAACCCACAGAACGGAAGAAAATTTTGCAAATCATTTACCCACTAAGGGACTTATATCTAGAAAGACAAAAACCCAATTATAAAATTGGCAAAAGATCTGAATAGACATTTCTTCAAAGACGACGTACATACGAATAGCCAATAAGCACATGAAAAGATGCTCAACGTCATTAGCCATCAGGGAAATGCAAACTAAAACCAAAAGGAGATGCCACTTCCCATACGTAAGGATGGCTATAATCAAAACAACAGAAAATAACAAAGTATCGGTGAAGATGTGGAGAAAGGGGAACGCTCTTATGCTGCTGGTGAGAATATAAAAAGTTTAGCCACTTTGAAAAGCAGCCTGGCAGTTCCTCAAATGATTAAACACAGAGTTACCACGTGATCCAGCAATTCCACTCCTAGGTATATTCCAAGAGAAATGAAAACATATGTCCACACAAAAACTTATACACAAATGTTCATGAGAGCCAAAAAAGTGGAAACAACCCAAATGTCTGTCAACTTATGAACGGATAAATAAAATATGTTACATCCATACCATGGAATATTACTCAGCAATAAAAAGCAATGAAGTAGTGATGCGGTTACACCATGTAAGAACCTTGAAAACATGATGCTAAGTGAAAGAAGCCAATCACAAAGGGCCACATATCGTATGGTTCCACTTACACGAAATGTGTAGAACAGGCGGGTCTGTAGAGACAGAAGGGAAATGGGTGGCGCCCAGGGCTGGGGTGGGTGCATGGGTGGACCGGGGATTGTGCAGGTTCGGGGTGGGGTAGTAAAAATGCTCTAAAAATGACTGGGGTGATGTTTTTACAACTCTGTGAATATACAAAAAGGCATGGAATTGTACACTTTAAATGCACCCATTTAAATGGTATACTGTGAATTGTATCTCAATAAAACTTTTTCTGTAAAAGAAACAATCAAAATCTCCAAACTAAGAGGGCCCTTCAAACAGACCTAATTTAAGCACCCATTCCTGTGAGAAAGAGACCCACCCCCGTGAGAAGTTACTCAATTCAATTGACAGCATTTGCTGAGTTAACACTAAAAATATTTTTTATACTTGAGAGGCAGGTCTTTTTTTTTTTTAGACAAAATAATTTAAATGTTCTTAAATATTAAGAACATAAAATATCCAAAAACTATGACAATATTTCTGTTTTACATTATGGACAATTACAGAGAGAGAGATCAGAGACATAGATTTATGTTAACATTAAGAGTGACAAAAAGAATTCAAGACACAAAAAGGACAGGGGAGAGCCAGTGAGAGGCAGGTCTTAATACTCATTCCCATTTTACAGACGAGGGCACTGAGATGGAGCAGTTTCGTGCTCTGCCCAAGGTCCCAGAGCTACTAGTTAGGAGATAAGGAGTCAAATCCAAGACCAGTCGGCTTTAACATCCAGATGTACACAGCGGTGAGCCAGGCGCAGGCCGCGGGTTATAAACACGGTCTGCGTGACCGCAGACTCTGAGGCTCTTATATGCTCAAATGGAGCGGCACATGAGAAACTCTCGGAGCCTAGAGAGTGGAGCAATGATGCTGATTAGGGGATCCAGGGAGGGGTTCACAGACGAGGGGACACATTGACTGAGATGGAAGGATGAGCAGGGTCTGGATATGATGACAAGTGGGAAAGGGTATAACAAGCTGTTGGACCAGCATAAGCAAAAGCTGGGAAAGTGCAACGCCAAGTTCAGGCGGCAGAGTGGGCTTGGGAATTGTTAAAGGAAGCTGTGACGGACAGGCAGGCAGGGGAGTGAGAGGGGTGCACTGACTTCCCTCTGTGGGCACTAGGGAACCAGCGAGGGTCTGTGAGCAAGGGAGTGGCGTGCTCTGATCAGTGACAGACCCACAGGCAGGGAGGGCAGCGCCTGACCAATTGTCTGGAAACAATGTTGCACTGAAAAGGGTCCAGGCAACCTGGAACCTTCAATCACCTGCTAGGAAATGCTTTGTAAAGTGCTGTTTGACCCCAAGGCATTCTTTTTATTGGAAACCTGCTCTTCCACAAAGAAACCAGAGTTCAAGTCCAAGGATCTTTTCTCCACTGCTGACTGAATGTGCAAATATCTGATCAGCTGTGGGGAGCGGCCGTCATTCCTCCCCACGGTGTCTGCCCTTGAAGCTAGTCCCCACGACCCCCTCCCAGCAAAGCCCCCAGCCTCGCACCCCAGCCTCGCACCCCAGCCAACACTGTTTGGTGGGTAACGAGTGTTCTGCCTGCTCCTACCCTGTCCCCACCCCAGGTCATCTGTGACCTTATGATTGCCCTGGGTGAGTGTCAAGGTCATCATGAGTCTTAACTTTTGTATGCCAAAGGAGGCCCCTGTGGGTTGGGGAAAATGTCACCCAGAGTTCCCATGTATGAGGTTACCTGCTGGGTGCCAGGCGCTGGGCAGGTGCAGTGCATCCATTACCACCAACCACCAAGGCAGGGGCGACCGCGTCACCTTACAGATGGGGAAACTGAGGCTCAGAAGGGCCAGCTCTCCTGCCCAAGTCAGACAGCTACTGAGGCGCAGTCAGGGGCAGGCCCGGGTCTGTTGGGCTCCAGCGCCCATGCCGTGCTGTAAGACGGCCAGCAAAAGGAGGAAGTGAGTCAGGAAGGCAGAAGAAGGAGGGTTCCTTTTTGAGTCAGAACAGGATGTCCCATCCCATAGCCGACTGATGCAGAGGCCGGGGGTGGGGGGGCAGATGAACCCCTGCAGGTCAGACTGACGAGGTGCCCAGGCCAAGTCCTCTGCAGGGAGCGTGCCTGAGATGGGGGACTAGCTGAGAGGCATGCCCAGTTTGGGCGGGACTGCGATGGGCCCAGTGACGCCAGGCCTCTCAGTGTATGGCTCGAAATGAATCAGGCCAGATGGGGCACCAACCAGGCTGTGGAGGCCCGACCTGGGTTTCCAGGAACTGACGGCCGAGAAAAATCCAGCTCACCCTCACTTCTCTCCCTCTGTGCCTCTCACTCCATCCAGCCGCCAGGCCAGGTGATGATGAAGGGCGTGCCCTCCAAGGACCCGTGTGAACAGGCAGAGAGAGGGGCCCATCTCATCTTCTAATCCAGAGCCACACCAGGCCCAACTTCCCTCTGTTCCAGAGCTTGGGAGACGCTTTATTCATTTAATGACAGATCTTGTTGCAACGCCTGCTCCGTACCAGATGCTATGGTTGGTGCTGAAGATCAGAGAGGTGAACAGGACCGACCAGATCCTGCACCCTTGGGTCACCTGACAGCTCAGGCTCCCTTCCTTCTGCTGGAAGGTAGACACAGTGTTCAGAGTCTTCTCAACACCCTCCCGCCCCCGCAGTCTCTACAATACGGCATGTCTTGACCTGAGACCTTCTGGTATCCACTAGCTCACCTCACAAGTGTTCCGTGGGTAGCACTCACTAAATTCACTTTTCAAAATGTGTCTGTGACGGCTTCCCTGGTGGCGCAGTGATTAAGAATCCGCCTGCCAATGCAAGGGACACTGGTTCGAGCCCTGGCCCAGGAAGATCCCACATGCCACAGAGCAATTAAGCCCGTGGGCCACAACTGCTGAGCCTGAGCTCTAGAGCACACGAGCCACAACTACTGAGTCCACGTGCCACGACTACTGAAGCCTGCGTGCCTAGAACCCGTGCTCCGCAACAAGAGAAGCCATGACAATCCGCACTGCAACGAAGAGTAGCCCCTGCTCACTGCGACTAGAGAAAGCCCGCGCACAGCAACAAAGACCCAACACAGCCTAAATAAATACATTTATTAAGAAAACACAAAATGTCTCTGTGGACCAGGGGTGTTAACCTGCCCCCCTCCCCGACAATGGGTGAGACCCCCTGGATTAGGCTATGAGGGCTCCCAGAGCCTCCTGACATCTTATGCAGCATCTTGTGTGTAGGCTTATTCTCCTGGCAAGGTCTGCAGGTCTCATCAGCTTCCCGAAGGCCCCCTGACTAGCGCTACACCAGACTCATGGTGTTAATTATCAACGTTTCTCCTTGTAAATGACCCAGAATATTCCCTGGGGTGGATGTCACAAACTCTCCTTAATCATTTCCATTTTGCTGGACAGTTATGTCACATTTTTGTTGTTTTTCTCAGTTCGGCTAGAACATTTGCAAACTTATGACTGAGTTAACATTTGAGCAAGATGTGTACCCCCCTGGCCACAAAGCAGAGCCCTAACCTACTCTAGTATTATCCCGCCCAAGAGGTCTTCTTCTGACCGGGAGAATTCATTTTTCTCTTCGGCATCAGCAGCTGGCCTTCTTTTCAGGGCTGTTTTCCACAAAGAAACAAAGTTTGCGGTCACATGGCTGAAGCTGCCTGGTGTGTAACAAGGAGGACCAGAGACTAACCAAATCTGGGTGATGTTGGGTGGTTAGGCTGGGCTGGGCAGGGCGGGGCTCACTCCTGGTGAGTCACTGCGCTGGACACCCTCCGCCCACCACATGCACACACACACACAACACACACACACACACACACACACACAGTCACGGTCACAAAGGCCTGCCTCTTCCAGGACACTTCCTAACAGCTGCTAAGCATGTAGACCCTAGAGCCAACTGGCTGAGCAGATTCAGGCCTAACTTTGCTGCTGAAAAACAATGAGGCCTCAGTCAAGTGGATTCAACTCCTCTGACTTCACTTTCTCATCTGTAAAATGGAAGTAATAATAGTATGAACTTCTTTTCACTGATCTGATTAAGTGAGTTATACTGGTAAACGGTGCTGGTAACCAGTAGGTGCTATATGAATGTTTTAGATAAATATTGAGGAAAAAAAGATGCCACTTAACTGTCCAGCAAAAAGAAAATGGTTAAGGAAAGTTGATGACATCCATCCCATGGAATATCCTGGGCCATTTACACTGAGAAACGTGATGATTAACACCATGGAATAATGCTGTGTCTGAAGAGAAAAAAGAGCACGTTGCACACTATTTATAATAGCCAAGACATGGAAGCAACCTAGATGTTGATCGACAGATGAATGGATAAAGAAGATGTGGTATACACACACACACACACACACACACACACACACACACACACACACACACAGAGTGGAATACTACTCAGCCATAAAAAAGAATGAAATAATGCCATCTGCAGCAACATGGATGGACCCAGAGATTATCATACTAAGTGCAGTAAGTCAGACAGAGAAAGACGAATAGCATGGGATATCACTTACATGAGGACTCTAAAATATGACATAAATGAACTTACAAGACAGAAACAGACTCACAGACATAAAAAACAAACTTATGGTTACCAAAGAGGAAAGGGGAGAGAGGGATAAATTAGGAGTTTGGGATTAGCAGATACAAACTGCTATATATAAAATAGATAATCAACAAGGTCCTAATGTATAGCACAGGGAACTACTATTCACTATCGTGTAATAAACTATAATGGAAAAGAATATGAAAAAGCATAATGAATCACCTGGCTGTACACCTGAAACTAACACAACATTGTAAATCAACTACACTTCCATTAAAACTCTTTGCCCTCTAGACCAACGGTTGAAAAGTTTTTCTGGAATGGGTCCGACAGTAAATATTTTAGGCTTTGTAAGCCAGATGGTCTCTGTCACAACTATTCAAATCTGTAGCTGTGGCGTGAAAACAGCCATAGGCAGTATGTAAATGATGAGCATGGCGGTGTTCCAATAAAACCTTGTTTACAAAATCATGTGGCATTTGGGCTGTGGGCTACAGTTTGCCAACTCCTACTGTGCAAATTATACAAAAACTGTGTGAAAAAAGATAAAGACTGAAAGGAACACAGGAAAAAGTAGAAGGTTCTCTTAGAGCACTGGAATCACAGGCACATTTTTTAAATGTCAATTTCTTTAAGGTGGTAGTAGTAGTTTTTTAAAAAATTAAAGTACTTTAAGACTGCGTACATTCTAATAACAAATTAAGAGATTTCACAGTTCCATTCGACTTTTTAAAATAAGTTAGAATTAGGAAGCCCAGCTTTCACATTATGCTGTATAGAAAACGTAGTCCATGAAGTATGGCCAGCGTGGGACTGAATCTGGCTCCTTTATCTACTAGCTGTGTGACCCCAGGCAAGTTTATTAACCTCTCTGTTCCTCAGTTTCCTTGTTTGTAAAGTGAGGATACCAATGGCACCAGCAAGCATACAAAGGCCCGGCCCTGGGCTTCCCTGGTGGCGCAATGGTTAAGAATCCGCCTGCCAATGCAGGGGACACGGGTTCGAGCCCTGGTCCGGGAAGATCCCACATGCTGCAGAGCAGCTAAGCCCGTGCGCCACAACTACTGAGCCCACGTGCCACAACTACTGAAGCCCACGAGCCTAGATCCCATACTCCACAACAAGAGAGAAGCCACCGCAACTAGAGAAAGCCTGCACACCGCAACGAAGACCCAACACAGCCAAAAATAAATAAATAAATTTAAAACAAAACAAAAAAAACAAACAAAGGCTTGGCGCTGAGCCTGGGGTACAGTAGGCCCTCGATACAAAGACGTGCCTTTCAGACCTACAGGACCCACAGGACCCACACAGGCAGGATCTTGCTGACCCTGGGTCTGTGTCATCACCAGGATCAAAGCAGACTAGAAAACCCAGCATGCTTTACTTCTCACCTAAGAAAAATACCCTCCTATGGTTTTCAGGTTTGGTTTATAAAAGGATACAGAGCAACTTGAACCCCACTTTCATTTAATAAATGGCACCCCAGCTGTGAGAAGAACAGCCAGAAGAAGGCAGGGTTTGTTCCAAATGGGAGTTTTCGGAGCAAGGGAGTTCTCGGGGCTGCCCTGGCCGAACCCCTGGGAAGATCCACGTCCCCACAGGGGCTCAGGCCCAGCGTGCTTCTTCCTGGGGCCTGAGCCCCTGGGCCCTGAGTCTTGAGGAGGCAGAGGGAACAGAGTCCTCTCTTTTTGGCAGAAAGGGGCACTTAGGGTTCAGAGTCAAAGGCCCTTCTGACTTAATCCCTCCAAGGCTCCACAGCCCGTACCTGAGAAAGTCCACAACGTGTCCCAGGACAGTTGAGGTCCTTCTCCATCTATCTATGCAGCCTCACCTCCCACCGATTCCCACCTCCTCTTCCTGAACCAGAGCTCCCTGGGGCTCCCTGTACATAGCATGTGGCTTCCCCCCTCAGTGCTCTTCTTTGCCTGCCCACACTCATTCATCAGTTCTGGCACCACTGCCTCCAGGGAGCCCTCCAGGATTTTTCAGCGTGTACCGGGCTGGGAACTAACACTGTTAAGCATGTACCGGGTGGCAGTCCCCATGTTAGGTGTTTACACACAGCTTATTGAGGTCTCTCACCTCTTGTTAAGTAGGAATGATTGTCTTCTTTATATAAAGAAATCAAAGTGGTTCAGTGACCTGCCCAAGGTCATACAGAAGGTATCCTGCTGCCTTGTTCTCCCCAACAGCCCCTTAGCAGAGCCCAAGAGGTTTAAAACTGTCCGCACTCTGCTGGAGCTGCAAGGTGGTATCCACTGAGCTATCCAGAAGAGTTCATCCTCCTTATCTCGATGCCGTGCCTGATATCTGGAAGCCTCAGAGCACCACTAAGCCTTCCCCCAGGAGCCTTCACCTCCCAGGAGTCCAAGGTCAATCGGTAACAGGCTGTGCAGATTATAATTAGCACATGCCAGTTCCTTCCCAGGCTTCAAGACGCCAGTTTTACGATGTGTCTGTGTGAAGCCAAGGGCACTGGCCTTGGGGACTGATTAAGTCTTCAGTCCTTGCCCTCTGGGGTGGGGGGCAACATGAGGGGGTCAGCAGCAGGGGTGAGTCACGTCCTTGCAGACACAGAGGTGCCACCCAAGCCCCTTGGACCTCAGGACCAGGGGCTACCAGTACTCAGGCAGCAGGGAGATGCCACCTGGGGCTCTGGGGAGCAGCGTGTTTCCCGGGCATGGGGCACTTGGCCCTGCCGGACTCCACTCCTCCCTCCCGGAGGGGACTGTGTCCAAGGCTGAGCTCCCCGTCAGTCCCAGCAGACAATAGCTTACTGTTGTGTGCAGCGCTTGGAAGCTGACCAAGCGCATCCCCCTCCTTATCCCCCTGATGGGAGGGAGTTTAATCCCTTTCCTCCTGGAGGAATCTGGGCTCCCCAACAATCCCTTAGCAGAGCCCATGGCCCTCCTGCTGCTGCCCAGCAAGGTCACCGCGCAGTTGGGGGAGAGAGGCGGTCGGCATGTGAGCCCCATTCTTTGCACTCCCGCCCTGGGGACCGGGGTCAGACACACGGGGCCTCCCACACCCGGCACAAACAGCACATGACCTCCTAAAATGTGTTTTTCCCCTCCTGTTGCACAATGCTAGCTTTAGTGGATTTTCTTGCAAGGACTGATGGCCTGCAAGATTTGCATGAACGGCAAATGTCACCCTCCCCGAGTTGACCGCACTCAACAGTAGGGCCGCCACCACTCAGGGGAAGGTGTTTCCATT